AAGATCAGTATGTCCGTCAAGAAGCCATTTCTGCACTGGCACAGATGTCAGAACATGGTTTGTGTGCAACTTTCGAATATCCCCCGAGGAGTGACCTTGTTTCTAGCTGATTTATGTGGTACTATCGAGAAAGCCTTCCCCGACATAATGGGGTTACTCGAAGATTCGGATGCAGTGATCCGAAAAGCAAGCCTTGAGGTATTAATAAATTTCGTTGGAAACTGTTCGTAGATCAATACTACCAGTGGCCCCGACTAATCCTATAAAGCTCAAAAGCCGGGTGCCATTCGTGTCATAATACCCCTCCTATCGAGACTGCTAGGCGATCAGGATAACAATTGCAGTCATAGTCATCAAACGATTGCTATATAAATCTCGAATATCGATACTTTTGAGTGAAGAGAGGAAGAAGATGCCCGTCTTCCTCCAGAAGTATGGAGTATGGTCCTCGAATTCGTTGTTGAGGTCCCGTTTGTGTTTGATACCCACTGTAATGCAAAGTCATTTTACAGTTTCATTCAAGCCCACGGGTACTCGCCTGACAAACACCGTTCCTCTTATCTCGATGCGGAGAAGCGACGAAGGAGCCTACGACTCGTTTGCAGAACGTGGGCAAAGCTCATGAACCGACCAAACCCGCATTGGGCAGTGGACCATGCCCTCTCCCCCTCCGAACGAAACTTCGATCACATAAAGAGACTGGATCTTGGAGTCAAACGGATATACCCTCGAACAGTGAGGGAACCCCTAACACAACAGCGACGACTCCTTGGCGCTATCCTTAAAAGTCACAAATCACTCTCCTCTATCACCCATGTGTGCATTTGCATAAGTAATATCCCAAGATTCAACGAAGAGATGATTTCGTTTCTCCCCCACGTGCGCAATCTACCTCACCTTCAAACCCTGACCTACATTGATCCGGCCAAAGACCTATCCAGCCTGGGTCTACTGGAGCTGTGTTATCCCAGATTTGCAAATTTGACCGGTCTTTATATAAAAGCAGAGAAATTGCACGGTTCCCTTCGATTAGAAAGACTAGAGTCTCTCTACTTGGACATTGAGTCATACGATCCTGGCCAGTGGTCGTTCCCCGCTCTTCGTCATCTTGCCTTGAAGAAAGGAAGCGAAAGCTTTCTTCACCCTTACGGTCTAAACAGCGGCACTTCTCCTCTGGCGGGTATCTTCACTCAACTCCAGTTGCTCTTCTTCCTTGACCCATACCTTTATACTTCTATAGATGAGTCATTCTGGGAAGCGTATCCGCACCTCGAAAACTTGGGTGTTTCTTCCAACACTCTAGCCATTCAATCCAAACCTCCACATGGTCATCCACTGAACCAGATCAGGCTCGCCAGTCCAAATATCGATTTCCAGCAACTTGTA